GCTGCTGGCGATTCCAGGGCGAGTGCAACCCCGGCCCGACTCTTAGCGGAGGTGCCAGCACCCAGGGGAAACGGGTCCTGGAAAAACAGACCTCTCGGGGAGAGAGGCTGGACGGGGGGGAGGCGGTGGTGCCTTCGCTTGCTCTCTTCTTTTTTATTTTTTTTCTTCTTCTTTTCCTCCTCCCCTTCTTTTTTTTCCTCCCCCCGGTGGGTTTTTTGTCTTTCTCGGAAAGGCCCCGGTTAGGAGTTCAGACGGGAGAGGTGGCTCTCTCATTGCTCTGGATTTTAGCCGGAGAAGTGTTGCTCCGGTATTCTCCTTCGTGCCGTGATAACACTCTTCCAACACTGTAAATAAAGAGCTATTCACATCGCGGAAGGTAGTAAGAATAAAAGGGATTCGCTTCTCGCAGGCAGCTCTTCCCTGAGACAGGAGGAATAAATACACTGGGGGCACTGAGCTGAGTTTTCTATTTAGGAAAGAAAGAAGGCGAGGAAAAAGAAACACGGACCCAACAAAACTCACGCCTGTGCCAGGGCATTGCTTGGGGGGAATGACACCGATTCCCTTCAGTGCCTTTTGGAAAAAATACTAAATGATCCTAAAAGGAGAGATAGTAACATCTATGACAGAGCGTGGGGCCTTGATCAGGCACCAAAGGAGGAAAGAGACAAATGCAGGCTTACTACTTAGCACGCAGATAATTTTTTTTTTCCTGACTACACCAACTATGGGAAAATATTTCGCGAAGTGCTCCCTCCCTCCGCCCCCTCCCCAGCTCACTTATCTGGACAGCTGGTATTTTACTTGGGTGTGCTTCCTAAGCCAGGAAACTTCACCACATTTTTGTTAGCAGGCCCCCTTGAAAAATAAAATTACGTATTAAGTAGTTTGCAGTTTGCCTAGCCGTGCTTCTCGTTTCAGGTCATAGCTGGAGGGTAGGGATGGGATCTTCCAGGTTTCGCGTTGTTTTCAGCTGTGGCAAAAAGTGTAAGGTTCCCAGCTGAGCTGCTGCCTGCGTGAGCGTGTTTGGTGCCTTGTGCGTTTGGAGGAGAGGTCACTTTTGTCCTCATCGGTGGGGACTGCACGGGGGATGCGGCTCGGGCATTGCAATTTCAAAAGGGGAAAAAAAAAAAAAGAAACAAGAAGAAAAAAACACCCCACAACACCAAAACCCGCATTTTTATTTCCAAACGTTGCTCTCCCTTGCTCTGCCCGAAGCAGCACTGCGAGGCTGCGGAGCGTGGCTGTGTCCGTGTCTGTGTGTCCGCGCATTTAAAAAAAAAAAATACTTGTTGATTAGAGCTCTTCTTCCCCCCTC